GGTTTTTTACTTCCAGCTGCCACCAGACCTTTGAAATGTTTGTAAGGCTGAAAACAGTCTTGATATAAAGTGTGTGCCTTCACAGCATGGGACACAGACAAGAGAAGCCTTCTGTCATGCACTTTTGCCTTCCCGTTATTGCCTCCTCCACTGTGCAGTGATTCCTATCCTGTGTGCTTAGATGAATTCTATCCCACGTGCTGGATTCATCTAAGCCCTTAAGGTGGCAGAAAATTACACTACTGCGTGGGAGAAGCAAAAGCCCCAGTGGGTGTCATTCAAGGGGTACTAGCTCCTCAACCCTAGTTATCTTCCTGACTCACCCAACAGCTCTGTACAGATGTACAACTTCACAAGGGAAAGGTCTGAGCTTAGTGAAATTTTGCAGTTTGTGGATGAGAAGGACTTATTTCCCTAACATCCACTCTAGGTTGGTCATTGGTCTTATTGCAGGCACTCACCTCAAAATGTTCTTTGTAGCAAACAATACCACACAGGAGCCCTCCAACACAAGCACAGCACTCGTATGCATATCCCTAAACCACAAAAAAAAGGACACGACAAAAATGTGCCATTACCCTGGCTCGAAGCCTTGAAGAGGGACCCACAGTTAATAGGTGATGGTAGATACCTAATTTGAAGAACTGAGCCAGTTCTCACAGGCTCACAGGATGTGCTGGTCATCTCCTAACAAGTCCCTGCAGAGCTCCCACAAGCTCTCACCAAAGGGAGAATTTCTATTCCATCTTCTTCTACGTTCCTGTCAGTGACACTGATGATTGTGCCCTTTTTCCTTGAAGTTTCATCTTAACATAGGTTTCCATAAATATCTTTCTTGATCATTCATTCCTTGTCAGGTGGGTGAACTGAGAGAATCCTCCTTCTTTATGTGGGAGCAGAGAAAGATTTTCCACTGCAGCTTCTCATTTGCCATGAAGCGAAGGCGGCACCTCCAGCTTCTCCTCAGTGGTTCAGTACAAGGGCTCCCACCTATTCCCTCACAGGCATGCCTTGGCAGCCCCTCATGGCCCAGGCAGAACCAAATTTCCTGTCTAATCCTGTGTGTCCTTCTCTTGGCACCACTTGCCCCACAGCCTAGAGTGTGGTGCCATCTTTGGCACCTACGGCTATTCAGTATACAAACCTTGACAGGTTAGGGCTTTTTGTAGGATCTAGCCTTTTTTGTCTACACAGTCAAAATTCACCAAGATCACCTTCACTCCCCCCCGGTAACAACACCCCCTTTGCTGACTTCCTAGCATCGACAGAAGTTTTCAATTTCTGATGTACTGATAGACTCTCTAAGAATCAGACCAACTCTCAGGGTGACAGACACCCTTTGCTCCCATTCCCTACTGGGAACTGGAAAACTAGTAGCTTTGGCCAACAAATTACAGCTACTCCCAGGAAGCAGGACTAGGAGGCCAAGAGCAATGTATGGCTAGAACCTCTTCAGCTTCTAGCAGTTTCTCTGATGTAGTAACAAGGCTGCTGCAATACCAGACGAACTTGGCTCTAGCCTGCCTCCAAAAGAGACAGCTGTAAAGAAACTTTTGCTTCTACTTAGGTCCTGCAGGGAGCAGACCCAACCCGACCCCCCGAAAGTGGTCGAAATGCCTGTGTATGTCCAGTGCAGCAACTCCCAAGGAGTAAGGGGTCCACCTAGTGCAGTCAGAGCAGTACTGCCAGAGCCGCGGGCAATGCAAGCCACACCTGCAAGCTTTACAGCAACACTGCAAGTGACACTGGGGGGGACCAAAGCCTCATCCTCTGCACGGTCCTTGTGAGGGAGAGGCAGGTTCTCTGAAAGTGGTGGCACTCCACATGGACAGCACTTGCTCCATTTACTGCATCAGTGTAGAGCAAGTGAAGGCAGGTGGCACCTGGCTAGGTTGAACACAGCACATTTACATTTAGCAAGAACAGTAATCCAAGATGAAGCCTGCAGGCTTACAGAGGCTGAAGACTGGCTTTAGTTTAGGGGGAAAAAAGCCTTGGTAGCTGCTGGTTTGCTACCTCCCCAGCACTACTGCTGCACTTTTATTTCCCATAAGAGGTCCCAAAAGAGACTTGACCTAGGCCTGTGTGAAACGGATCAAGAACGGATCTTCCTGGTTCAGAAAGCAATTCCTCTGGCCAACTTTGATTTATCCCAGCTGAAGGAAATTGAGTTTATCTAATGTATGCTACCTACACAAGCTTTAAGGTCTTATACTTTTCAAACACAGTTTTGGTTAACATCACCTTCCAGACCTGGGAGCACAAGGGCAGTGTCAAAACACCCTGCAGGGGTTTAGGCAAGTCTTTTAACCACATTCTTTTACTCCCTTTCACAAAACGTGACAGTGCTACATTCAGCATTCTCTGATAGCAAGGTAACCAAGCAGATGTTGACTGCAGGAAATCAAAAGGGCTAAACTGAAAGAGCTGCTGCTCCACATCCTGTTCATGTGACAAAGTCAGAGCAGATCACATATGACCTCCTGTAACATCTGTAACGGATGAAACTGAAACTAGCTGGCTACCAGCTCTGAGCAGTAGAAATAAATAGGCAAAACAGTGCTCTACACAGACACTGCTCATTAGTTTAAAAAGGCATTTGGAAAGCTTAACAACAAAAATGCCTGTGGCATGGAGACTTAAAAAGCTCATGGTTTGCCATAAGCAGTTCCCTTAACACCAAAGTCATGCAGTGCTCCCACATTCACGTGAAAGACTCGAGTCTTAGACAATTTGGTTATGATCACATAAAACACAAGAGAGGGAACAAAAATAGATTCCCCACCTTTTCTTTTCATCCAGAAGCAGGTGAATCACTTTGATTTAAAAGACATCTAGTGGCAGACAAAAAACTATAGAAAATGACTAATCAAAAGGATGTTATTCTGGAAACTTCTAGATTTCCCATTACCTGAGAGTCTTTCATCAAACCATGCATGTTAGACTGAGACTTAAGGGTAAAACGAGCTATGAAAAAACTTCCCAGACAACTTTAGGTCAAAAGGACTTGAGGACCCCAAACCAGTACTCCAGATCCAACTCTATGTCACCTTAACTTCCCTTCCCGCTGGCAAGAGAAGGCAGCAAACACACTATGAAACCTGAGAGTCTGTATGACCTAAAACTCCAAGTCGGGTTTAGGAACAGCCTGAAGTAGCACTGGGCCATATAGAGCTATGGGTTTTATTTTTGTACATGTAAAAGTATTTGGGGGTTTTTTTGGTTGTTGTTTTTGGTTTTTTTTAATAAAAAGATAAGCTATTAATTCTTCCTACCTCAATTTTCAGTTTCACTTACTCTGAATAAGTAAGAACCTTCATCCCAGGAACTCGCTGCAAAACTACCATAGGTTCTTGGGACCAAGAGAAGTCTGCTCAGCAAGAAAATAGCAAAGTATTTGGAAAAGCCCACTGCGAGCTGTGAGTGGAGAGACAGCAACCCTGGGAGGTATATGTGAGAAAGACTCCAAGTCCCATTCAGCTGAATGACAAGGGATAAGCAACAGCAGCCTGAAAAGAACTCAGATTCTACCCACCTGTAAATGCACAAGCAACACCAATCAATCTCAGAGACTTTTTTTACTAAGAATTTTCAATAAACACACCTGCACACGCATACACACATATATATATTTATAGCCATCTCTTGCAGAGAGAAACAGTTAAGTGGTTCCACATTCAGGACAGGGCAGATGAGTCAGCACCACCTGGCCAGTGGTTCACAAGGTGCTGAAGAGGCTCCCGTGTGCGTGCTCATGGTTGCTTCATGTTTCTGAAGGGAAGGCCAACAAGTCTTGGAGACAGGCTCAGTGCAAACATACACACAGCTGCAGTAATGTGTAACAGCTGTGTCATAGAGCGAGATGAGAGGGAGCAGCTGGGAAAAGAACAAACCCTCTGAAGACTGCCAAGAAGTGTCTGAAAACAGTGTCCATCCATGGGAAGTCCAGTCAGAATTTGACAGAGAAGGAAGTCCCACATGAGCAACCCTTCTCTGCCTGGGGGTTGCTCACCACCTGGAAGGAGCTTCGGATCAGCTCCTGGCTGAAGTCCACCATGGAACCTTTCACGAAGGCCAGGCTGTCCACATCCACAACCACACGGGCACCACCTTGTTCAAACACCCTACAAAAAAGCGGCATATTTAACCATTAACTGTGCCAAAGACCTTCCAGAGAAGCACAGCCTGAGCAGTCTCCTTATCTCATAGGCTTCTTCCCTTCAATGCAAGATCCTACAGTCACACATACCTCCTCTGCCATTTTTACAAAGAACAGTAATACCTGATCACCATTACACCCCTTTGTCCTTGCCTGTCATCAGGATTGATAACTGTGTCCAAGGAAAACTTGTACTGGAAGCCAGAGCAGCCACCTCCTTCCACCTGCAGCCTGAGAAACTCTGAGCCTTCTGCAATCTCCAGCAGTCTCTGCAAATAAGGAAAAGGATTAAAAGGCCTACTGAGCAAACTAGTGACACTTAAACGCCTCCCTTGTGCACCCACGGCAGGCCGGGCACTTCGGAAATCCCTCCCAGAGACACCGGAGCCGTCCTGGGGTCCCCACCTTCACGCAGCTTTCGCTGAGGAAGACCTGTCCTTCGCTGGGCTCGCTCTCCCTCGGGCCCGGCTGGGAGAAGGACGACTCCCACCGCAGCGGGCGGACAGCCCGGGCAGGCTCAGGCGAGAGCCTCGGCAGCGCTCGTCCTCGGCACGGCGGAGCGGGGCCCCAGCTGCCTCGGGGAGAAGGGAGGAGAAGGGGAGCCTCAGCGGGGTCCCCGCCACGCCGCCCGGCCCCCGCAGATGCCGCCCCTTGCCGCGCAGCGGAGACACTCGGCATCCCCGGGGGAGGACCCCAGGGCTCGGGTATCCAAGGGAGCGGTACCTCATCCGGCCACCCAGCGCCAGCACCCACCACCGCCGCAGCGCCCCCGGCGCCGCCATACTGGCCCAGCCCCGCCCCGCCCCGCCGCCACGGCGTCCGCAGAGGCGGAAGTGCCGCCCCGGCGGGCGGGCACCGGGGCACCGGCGTCCGTGCGCCGGCACAGCTAGGCCGCTGGGCCCGGAAACCCGCTGCAGCTTCGCATAAAGGCACGAAGCCGCCTTTCGTCCTTGGAGGTGCTCGCAGAGGGAAGCAAACAGCAGTAAAACAGTGGGGAGCAATAAACAGCGCAGTGCTGCCCGTCATCTCGTGCTTGTGCCGCGAGTAGCTGTGAGGTCGTTTATCCTGAGTAGAACTCGGGGAGGGATCAAGGTGCCGCCGCAGGGGAGTTAGGCAAGCAGAAGAGCAAACACGGGGCCAGAGTTGAGAGCTTTTAGGGTTTTCCCCTGATCCCGACTGGTCTGCTCTCCTTTATCAGGTAGGAGCTCAGCTCAGAAATCCCTGTGGAGGCTATTCTTCCTCCGGACGGGCGCTTTGCCCCGGTGCCACGGAAGCATGCTCAGCCTCAGACCCACACCGTCCCTCTCCTCCCACCGCAGGAAGGGGGGAAGGAGACCCCCACCCCAAGCCTGCCCCGTGGCCTCCCCTACGGCCACCCGGGGCACGTTTCCCTCCCACGGTGGTATAACCTCCTCCTGATGTCTGCCGTGTGACAGTGGCCTGGCCGGTCGATCACAGATGCACCTGCGGTTAAAAGTCTTTATTGCTTCCTCGTGCTTCTGGGGGAGGAATCCTGTTCCTCAGCCCCAGCCAGGTCTGTGGAGAGTCATACAGTGACTGTGTGGAAGACTCGTGGAGGAAAACCAGTCATCCCAGCAAGAGGAGGTGATTTACCATCAGGGGACCTTGGGACCCTGTGACAGTTTGCTTTCTCACCGTCCTGCTCCAAGAAAGGCAATGCTTTTGAAACCACGTGCTTTTGCTTATTTGTTCCAAACCTGAGCATGTAAATAAAGACTGGTTTGAGCTGTTTAATTTTGTTTGGTCTTGTGTTAGCTCTAATGATGTTAGGATAAAGCCAGGAAAGTATCCCAGCAGGGCAGGTGCCTGCAGTGGTTGATGAATCCTTATCAGGTATATTGGACCACCGAATGTTTTAAAAAACCATATTGGGGTGTTTCTCAGTTATTATCAATGTGGTGTCCCAAAAGCAGACAGCTTTGGAAGAGGGAATCAAAACCTCCTGGGAGAAAAGGCAAGAGATCATGCCTGCTTTCCATAATGCACTGGCTTCCCTTCTTGCTCCTGCATGGTGTGTTAGACTGATCCCACTGCACTTCCCCGTGGTGTGGCTCTATTCACTGTGAACACCTTTTGGAATGGATGTAGCCCCAAAAACCAGACACTCTAACTTTCTAGCTGCCTTCGTTTTTACCGGTGTTAAGAGGCAGAAGCGTGGCAAGTACCTTCAAGGCACTTCGGGACGTTGCTGAGATGGCTACTGCAGACTGAAGGAATGAGAGAAAGGCCAGCTAGCCCCACTCAGAGTTAATATGATTAATGATCCACTATGCTGAGGAGTGACTCAGGTGCTGGGGGCAAATTTTTTTGAGCAGCTAGGAGAGGTGGGTGTAACTAAGAACAGCTACTCCTTTGCACCTCTTTCTTATCACTGGCCTTTTTTTCCTTCAGTCAGCTATGTGGTACAGTGATGGTTTGTTGGGTTTTTTTCAGAGTTACAGTCTAGTTTTTCTTCTTTCCTGGGCTGTGCTTTTGTTGGTCATCTTGTTCCTGATAGATGGACATAATCTGGTTTTAAGTTTGGTTGCGTTTTGCTTTTCTCTTCTGGTCTGTGGCATGTGGGTTTAGGGAGTTCCTTTAGCTATTGTTAAGCACGCTGTATTGAGGAGATTTGTCTGTGAGTCGAATTCTCTAGATATTTTGCTTTTTTCTCCTCTGATACTTAAATCATCTTGTATCTGTTTTGGTGAGAAACTGAGCTTGTTTCAGTGCTTCAGAAGCTGGTGATAATAAAACCTCTGGTGTGGTGTTGAGAGTGGATGTGATGCATTTCAATGTGATTCTGACAATCTGTAGCAAAAGGAGCCTGTTCTGGCTGAAAGAACAGCAAAATTGATTAGTATGTGGATTTTCTTGAAAACCTGACTTTTGTATTTACTGCCACTGTAGTCCCTGCAAGCGGAATGCTGTTAGAGGGATTTGGATTAATCAGGTGTAGCTAGGTTCTGAAGTGGAACCTTAGGCTTTCCTCATGTAATAGAGTTGGTTGGATTACGGAAATGAAGAACTTGATTATCAGTCTTGTTGGAAAGAATTAGTCTGTTAGCTTTCTTAGTAATTTCTCCTGGTGTTTCTGAACCTAATCGTAAGCTCCCTGTGATGTTGGTAATCTGGAAGGAGCCCCGTCTGCAAAATAATGAGACCAGCCTAAAGCTGAATTGAGTCTTTCTCAAGTATTTTGGTACAATGTTGGGTTTCAAGGGGACCAGGAGGCCCATGCCTTTTATCAGATGTCAAAAGGGTCATGTGCCTAAAAGCAAGGTCTGTTTGGCCTAAAGTGCTTATGCTGCCCTGGGGAATCTAAGCTTTAAGTGCTGTTATTGCAAAACTGACACGATGGTAATGTGTGATATCAGCTAAAAACCTTGGGCAGAAGGTTTCTGCGTCTTTCTTCTCTAAAGGCCTTGGCTGTAGTTCTACAAACTTACACTTATTAGGCTCCAGTTTGGAGGAGGAAGGGGGAAATAGACATGTTAATTTTGATCCTAGATTCAATGATTTTTAGTTCAAAGCCTTTGAAACACTTGTATTTATGAGTCGCTGCCACTGTGCAAAAGCATCTGTGAAGCAAAGATATCTGGTTAGTTGTTTCACAGGAATGCATCCTGATTTAATGCACTGTGGAATTCACACCCAAGCAAATTCCAAGCCCTGCTTATCCCGTGAATGTGTGATGGCACTTTATGGTGTTAGTCTGACCTGATTACAGTTCTGTTCCCAGAAGTCAGATAAGCCAGATTTGTTTACCATTTGTAAGACTGGAAGGATGCAGAGAAGGAAAGCCTTTCAAAGAGAATGATTTCCAATGTGCAAGGATGGGTCATTTATAAAGTGTGCTAGGTGGGCTTAAATACATGGCTTAGTCTCAGCAGGGTCTTTTGAGTTTTTTTGATAGGGTTGCTGTAAGCACCCTGGTCTGCTTGCCTCTGCAAATCAAATGCTTATTCAAAATCTTAAAAAAACATAAAAAAGCCCCCTGTTCCTTTCTGAAGGAAGGGATCCCTCTTCTTCTGAAGTGCTAAACTGCTCAGCAGATATGCATAAGAGTATGTTCTGCTTGGTCCTACTAACACCTCTTGGGTTTCTGATGTGACACCCTTTGCAGAGAGCCTGAGCAAAGCGTCGGGTGTCGTGTCTGAGTCACTTGGTTGTGCAGCTGCAGCTGAGCAGGCAGACACTTCACTGGGACAGAGGTCTGAAGTGGGGACGCTGTGTTAGCTCTGCCACGTTCCTACCAAATCAGCACTCATGTGCCTTTGTCTCTACTATGTTCCTGACATGACCCCAGAAAGGCTAAAACTTGCTACCATGTGAAATTGGTGAAAAGCTTGGGTCAAATGCTTTCTGAAGCATCTTCCTCATCCTCTGGTTTGTCCTGGCATCCACAGCACAAAGCAGGGAGCCTATGGCATTTCACGAGTTTGAGAAACAAGATTCACAGTGTGTGTGTGCTCTGTAAAACGCAGCAGCCACGCCAGGTACTCAGCAGATGTAACTTCTGGCACTCAGGTTACACAGACAACTTTCAACATGCAGAACACGAGATATGACGGAAGCGACAGACAAGCCTACGGGCTGGTCCACTACAGCAGGGGGTTTATGTTTCTCTCCTTTCAGCAAAAGCAGCAAAAGAGCTTCCCGGCCCATCGCACTGCCTGTACTTGAGCCTGTCCTCCGGCTGCTACCTTTGGCACTGACTCCACCAGGACAGCCCAGGAGTGGGGATGTCCAGTGGCAGCGCTGTTGGAGAGGGTGTCTGTCTGTCCAAGGGCTGTTGTTCCAGCACACCACACCCCCACTACCCCCTTCCCCCCCACTGTCCTGTCACGGCGCTGTACCCTTTTCCCCTTGCCCTCCGCCGCGGCGCCAGGGGCGGGCGGCCCAGCCCCAGGCCGCCCCCGGGATCGCGTGGTGTGTCCCGGCCCGGCCCCGCGGGCGGAGCCGGCCCCAGCTGACCGGCGGGCGGGGCCCCCGCCCTCATGTGACTGCGCGGAGCCGCCGCCGTGCCGAGCTCCCAGTTGCTGCCGCCGCCCTCGCCATGGTGCCGTCCCCGCTCGCCCTGCTTCTGGTGCTGGGCGCCGCCGCCACTGTCCTGGCCGAGCCTCTCCGCTTCGTCGACTGTGGTGAGTGGCTCCGGCCCCGCTCGGCCTCGGGGCAGCGGGAGGCGGCGGCGGGGTGTAAGCAGGCGGAGACGGCCCGGTAATCCCGACTTTTCCTTGCAGGTTCCGTAGACGGCAGCATCCAGGAGGTGAACGTGAGCCCTTGCCCCACTCAGCCTTGCCTGCTGCATAAGGGGACATCCTACAGCATCAACGTCACCTTCGCCAGCAGTAAGGATCGTGTCCCCGGCAGGGGTGGGGAGAGGGAGGTAATCCTCTCCGTGTTCCACTGCTTGGAGAGGAGTGGGGAAGGGCGGATGGAGAGGGGTCTGGGTGGGAGGAGGAGTGTCCCTTAGTTGTGTTCTTGCAGCGTTTGGGGTATGTGGAGAGGAGGGTGTGAGGTATACACATATTCTCCGTGTTTTGCAGAGATCGAGAGCCAGGGCAGCAAAGCAAGGGTGTACGGCGAGATGCTGCACGTGGACATACCCTTTCCTATTCCTGAGCCCGATGGATGCAAGTCCGGGATCCAGTGCCCCATTCAGAAGGGCCATTCTTACAGCTACCTGAATAAACTCCCTGTGAAGAGCGAGTACCCCAGTGTAAGTACGCAGGCAGCTGGTCAGCTCCCCAGCTCCCACCTTTACTGGGGCACCTGCCTTTAAGAGAAGACACCTTGTTCTGTTCTGGTGAGGGAGAGAAGACTCCTTAGACTATGTGGTGTTATTTCTGCTTTGAACATGACTCTAGTTTCAAGATCCCACTTTGGGACAGACCCAGCAGAGGAAGCAGCCTGGCTCCAGCTGCTGAGAAGTGGCTTCAGCTGCTCCAGTATCCTCCTGTACTGTGCTTCCCAGCAGTCTGCTGCATGCAGCTGAACACTCCCAGGCTCAGGGTGCTTGGCTCTGGAGTGCAGTTCAGCTGGGATGTTGCAGGCTGTTTCCACTGTTTGCTTTCTCAGGGAATGGGAATCTGAGTGCAGTGTGTGGAGGTCTTCTGTGCCATGCAACTGAGCCCTCCTCCTCCACTCCAGGAGTCATTGCATGAGCATGGCCCACCTACTGCAAGCAAGGGCAATGCCCCAGCTCTGTCCTCTGTGCAGAGCCCCCAGAACCTCCTTGTTCCACACAAGTGATAACTCTTCTCCCTATGCCCTTGCCTTAAGGTTTCCTGAAAACCCTCATTTTCCTCTCTGCTCTTCTCTTTCAGATTAAACTGATCGTGAAGTGGGAGTTGGTGGATGACCAGGACCAGATGTTGTTCTGCTGGAAGATACCAGTGCAGATCACCAGCTGAGGAGCCCTGCCATTAGTAGGGCTTGGGGAGGGGAAAAACAGAAACAACACAGGCCAAATTCTTTTATATAATAAGCATTTCTTACTGCTTACTTCAGAGCTCTGCAGCCTCTGAGCAACCAGCATTGTGTTCCTTGCAAGGTCTCAGCCATGGGCAGAGCACTCTTACCACGTTTAGGTGACACCCCTGGGGTGTTCTCACAGCAGCTCAAGGGGCAGCAGTGTCTGCTGCAGGAGCAGGAGTGACTGAGCATCACCCTCCAGCTGCTCTGTGGAGGCACTTTTATTTGTTTGACGTGGAGCTGTCTGTCCTCACAAAAGAATTCCTCAGCAGCGAACC